GACAATTCTACTTTTTCTGCTGAAAGATTCACAGTTACTGTAAAACTTTATGCACATGAGAAATTATTTATCTCAGTAAAACCAATGGTAATAGACCACTTAAAAGAGATACAATAAATGGTGCCTTGTGTCACTAACATGCATTGCTAGAATATACAGTATATTACACAGGTACAAGAAAGGAATCTATTGCTTTTGGCTAATCAAGATTGTTTGTCCTCTTTTTTGTAGGAACTTCTTATCATCCACTTAGTACTGTCTGTGAGGACAACAGGCTCAACAGATCTGTCCGGATCTTGACACAGATATCATGCTATGTATGTATGGAAGTATGTATTTATGTGAATAAAGTACTGTGCACATGAACTCACTCAAGAGCCGGGGGATTGCTTTTTATTCTCACAAACTGTTTGAGAAAGGCCAAGACCACCTGACAGAAGTGACCCCTACCAGTGTACTATACAGTATGTCTGTTATATGGTTATTTTCAAGACAGATTGTCCCAGAGCAGCCCTAGCAGGAGCTTCTTGGAACATCTATAAACTCTAATGTTTGATAGCTGAATAAAACAAGTATCATCTCCCCACTTTTCGCACCAGAATACCATGGACTCAATATTTTTGACATGTCCCACAGAGATAGTAGCCCATAATGACTACAGTGTAAAGATATTTCCAGTTGGAGGGAAAAAGCTAATATACTTACATTTACCTTGAAGGTGTTGTCATCACCCTGATAATGAGGTCCAGGGAAATGGCGACTACTCCAATATTTGGGCTACTCTACATTCCCCAGATCTCTTAATAAGGATGATAACATCACCCTTGCCTATAGACAGAGGAAAGGTAAGCATACTATGTAACATTTTCCCCCTGCATGTGATTTTTTTTAAACTGGAACTTAGTGTTTTAGCAAGGGGGAAGGGGGACACATTGGAAAATTGGACCTAGCAATCACATAGAATTCCCCTTGACAGTGGTCAGTCAGCCATATCAAGGGACCACTATTTCAACTATATGTACAGATTCTAGAGTACCTGAATTCTGGAAAAAGTGCCCAAAATAATAGTGCAAGCAAAGGACAGAGTACTAGTTATTAGTATTGCCTGTGGACTTCCTGCAGCTGAGCAGTCATCATTACTGACATACCATGCCTTGTTCTGCACTGTGTCTCTGTATGGGAGCATTCATCTAGGTTGAGGCAGAGCTTTGCTTCCTCGCATCAAAGCCTCCAGTAAGGAAAGCAGTGAGTAGTACAACAATAACATCCACAAATCTCACTCCAAAATCTGCTAAAACTAGCAGTCAGAATCAGTAGTGTATTAGATTACACACTGGCGATATACAACTATAGGGCTGAAGGTGGGGGCTTGCCTAGGCACACTAACATACCAGGAAGTGCACTGTTTAAGGATACATTCCATACAAAAGTCCATTTTATATCTGATGTTAAAAACCAGTCAAGTGGTGACATGCTCCACACTTGGTGGACATGTCCGTTTGCCTCACGATTTTGGACTAGAATCTTTCGCTTACTCTCCAGTCTGTTTCACACCCGCATTTCCAAGGATCCCACTCAAGCTCTGCTACACAGTACCATACCCGGTCTAACCGCCTCCCAAAGATCACTAGCACATCAGATCCTCTTGGCAGCCAAGTTGACCTTAGCAAACAACTGGAAAAAACAAATCCTGCCATATTGCGAGTTTACTTCAAGATTAGAGAATATTATGACTAACGAAAGATTATCCAGTATTCTGAAAGATACACATGCCAAGTTCTTAATGATATGGGAACCTTGGGTGCTATATCAACACCCGGACCTAAGCGGGGACACCCTTAGATTTCTATAAGAGACTGCTATTTCAAAATCGGGAGTGCCTCTAGTTGACAACGGGCGGCTGCCCTACTGACCTACTCTTCACCACAACCAGCTGTGGCATCACACCGATGGATCTGATACCCAATCCACCCCCTCTCCCCCGCTCTTCTTCCCTCTCACCCTTTTCTAAAACTTTCCTATGATCACTATTTGTTAATAGGGACAGACATATAGTAATGGTATCCAATTTGGACTTTTATGTACATTATAATTTGCGTACGTTACTTGTATTGTACCCTATATTCAATGTCTCCTTTACCTGTGAAAACCGAAAAAAATACATTGTTAAAAAAAAAAAAACCAGGCAAGTGTCACGGATGAGGTTTTTGAAAAGACAAGTCAACTTCTTGATGATTCAACTGTAATAGGCGTTTCTTTAAGAAATGGTATGGATAGGATATGGATAGTATGGATAGAAGTTTTTTTTTTACCTGGTGCTACCATCAAGTGGTCTTACATTTAGTGGTCTTACATGTTGATATTGCAAAAAAGTCATATTGCAGATTTTGGGTATGTTAGTCATGATGGTAGCAGGTGGTCTGATATTAGCTGTATGAAAGAGGTGGTCTGCATCCCTCACACATACATGTACTAAGTTACTTAGTATGGATTTCAGGAGTTTTCTTGAACATGCCTTTAAACTCAGAAATGGGGCAGAGATTTAATTGATACAGAACATTTCTTTCCCCAGCCAGTGAAAACAAATGTGAGGGTTTCTGTTTCTAAGGACTTGGCTGGTTTGGTGGTTATTGTAGTTAAATATTCTGCTATTAAAATTCCAACAGTAGATAGCAGTGTTTGTCACATCATGTGCACTAATGCTCATAGTTTAGGTAATAAGCTTTGTAAAGCTTGGTATACATGCTTCGAATTCCGGCCGGTTCATTAAGAGCTGCACCCTTTCAACCATCATCCCTCGATCAGCTGATTGAAGGAGCATGTCAGAAATTTCTCGGCCGAACAGAGCGAGCAGCTAATAAGCTGCTCACTCTGTTTGGGTAATTCTGACAGCAGCCAGCGACCACTGTCAGAATACAATGTAAACAACAGGAGATACCTTGATCAACGCTCGTAATCATTAATGTAGGAATCTGTTCTATTTTCTTCATTCAGCCGGCAGTTTGAACGAAAAAAATAGAACAGTGTACACCCAAAATAGGCTAACAGCTCGTATGTCTAGGGATAACTTGGACTTTTTCGGATTACAGAGACATGGTTCAGGGACTCAAATGACTGAAAAATATATACCAGGATACTCACTATACAGTCAAGCCAAGTAGGAAAGAGGGGAGATGGAATTGGCATTTATGTAAATAATAGCATAAAACTAACATTAATTAAAAAAAAACACATTAACTACTCGAATCCCTCTGGGTATGCTTACCAAACAGAGAGGGATATTCCTTTAGACCTGGTGTATTATACAAGCCCCAGGAGAAATATGATATCTTGTTGATTGACAAATTGCAGTTTTCAAATTGCTGAAATGGGGCTAAAAGGTTGGCGAAAATAGCATTAGTTAGTAATCAGTGGGCATTATTTCATTCTACCATCCTGGAGGCAACTAGATTGGGGGGAATTTATCAAAACTGGAGCAGACAGAATCTGAAGCACCTATCCATGGCCACCAATCAGCTTCTCTCTTCAGTTTGTTCAGTTAAGATTTTAAAATGAAAGATAGAGGCCAATTAGTTGCCATGGGCAACTGCTCCAGATTTTATCTGCTCCAGTTTTGATAAATCCCCTTCACTGTCTAATTACTAAGGTTAAAAACAGAGGTTTTAGTTGCACAACTTTTGCAAAATATGTTTAGACTGCACTGCCTCGTCAAGGCCCCTCTGTATAATGAGGTCCTAACTCTAATCTATGAGAGCATACTTAGAGCACAGGATAAATTGGGTGTAGGTTCGCCAGGAGGTAGCGCAACCTCCTTAAAGGCATAGGAACACACCAGAAGCCCAGCATATCACAACGGCAGCTGAAACCATGACACATAAACCACACCTCACCTGTAAGTAGACTTGCTTGTAAGGCTCTATTACTGTCTATGAGGGTGCAGTAGTGTACTACCCTTAGTTACCCTCCAAGAGTCGCTGTCTTCCAGCTAGAGGATATACAGTATATAGCAGGGAAGGAACATTCACAGGGAAGTCAGTGGTAGGAAGCTGAGGAAGCTGAGAAAGGAAGAAGCAGTGCAAACCTGTTGTGGGCCCTCATTGGAGAGACAGAGCCACAGCTAGCAAGATGTACCTTCCTAGATTTTGATGTTCCCCTTGGGGCAATGACGCTGTTCCTGCTCCAAGTGGGTTTAACCAGTGTAGCTGGAAACTATTGAGAGAGCAGTTCTTCCTGTAAGTCTGACGTGGACTGACAATGGCCATGGAAATGAAAGACTATAGACTGTTTGCATTATTCTTCTATTAGTGTGGCCTATTCCTGGGGAACCCAGTGGAGCAGCTGGTTCAGGGCAGGAGTGTGTGGTGGTCTAGTGGTGGCAGGTCAGTCAGTGGCAATGGCCGGGTAGGTTCCTCTGGTGCAGTTGACACATTGCCTGGGCCCGGTGTGGCATTGGCCCCAGGTGTGTGATGTGATCCTCCTTGGGACTGGAACTGGAACCATGGAAGAAACAGAGGCTTCCTCTAAGATATGTAAATAGATTCCTCTCCAGGCCTACTGCCAAAGCATGGAACCTGTTTAGAAGTGAAGCCGGTGGGGTGGGTTGGAAGCCCGAGCTCACCACACCTGCAAAGCTGCTCTGGGCTCCCCCAGCCTGGAACTGGTTTAACAAATACTGTTAGTGGAAAACAAAGAGAAAGATGACAGAAAATACAATTTAAGCTGAACTCCGGGCAGATAATATATACTGTATATATTTTTTTCAAGAAATGCTTTTTAAATGCAGCTAGTGTAAATACCTAAATTTGACTTTGTCTTCCTTATGCAAGCCCCTGTACAGAGAAAATCCAGGTCACAAGGCTGGCTGCGCTATCAGGGTTGTATAAATTTCAGAATTTACTATTACTGTATATTTAGCTGCAAAGCCAGGACACCAATGATCTTTAGTTAAATAACTATATCCTTAGATCTCTCAAGTTATGGGAAGCAGGAAGATCTTTTACCTGTACTTTCGTCTCCCAAAGAAACATTGAACATTTCACCCTCTGCCTCCTCCTCGTGTGGATCCATTCTGTCCATCTTTGTGTAATTAAGATCAAGCTGGCGCCTGTCATTTTACAGCACGCACATGACACTCTGAGTTAAATCATTAATAAGCAACCAACCTCTTCCCATAAGCCAGACACCTATTGCTAAGCAATATGATCTGAGCACTCTCGAAGGTACAAAGTTTAGGACTAACGGCTTCCTCAAACTGCAGTGTTTGCAGCTTATGGGTCAGTAAAGTGTTTCTTCTCTTCTTGCCAGATCAGAAAAGGTCCCACTGCCATCATTTCATTCACACTGATGCAATAGAGCATTATTTAATACATATTTATTTCATTATTTAATACCTCCAAGAGCATAATTCTCATTTTCTGACAGCACTAAATTTTTTACAAAATGCGAGAGTTGAATTAAAATGAAACTGTCACATATGAGGCACGATCACAATGTTGGAGAGCAGACTCAGAAACTGCAGAATTAATGCATGTAAAAGGGGCTCTGCAGGGCATTTCAGCATGTAAGAGGGGGCTCTGCTGGGGATTACTGCATGTAAGAGGGGGCTCTGTTGGGCATTCCTGCATGTAAGAGGGGGCTCTGCTGGGCATTCCCGCATGTAAAAGGAGACTCTGCTGGACACTCCTGAATGTAAGGGGGAATTATTCATTTCAGTTTTATTTATTAATTATTAAATCTGTCCTATATTTTTAATTTGTAAAATATACTATATAGCGCTCCTACTAAAAAGTTTGGGGACCCCTGGTTTAGAGGAAAACTCTCCTTTTTGAAATAGATATAACACATATTGGTACTCAGTCCAGGCAATAACTCTTGTAAATAGGTGTTGAGCAGTGACAGTGTCACTTGTAGGCAACACTCACATCTGACTTTGTAACTCCCGGTGGTGCATAATGAAGAGGCTACTACTTGCAGGAGCTTTTCATAGTGGTCTTCAGAGGGAAATCACATCTATCTGTGAACGCTTTTTTCTGTTTTTTTAGTGCATTTTTTTTTTACTGAGTGTTATAGCATATATACAGGGGCGGACTGACAACACATGGGGCCCAAGGGCAATACAAGAATATGGGGACCCCTTGTGCTCCAACCATATACAAGCCCCACCCACAAGCCCTACCTGGATAAACATTATTGGGTTACAGGAATTATTTCACCACACTATTTTCAAAATAGTGGGCCAATTCACTAAAAGACCAGAACTAATGCATGACAGACCATAAACCAGCACTAATGCATTGCTGACCTGCTGAGGGTCTCACCAGGGGCAGATGCAGAGGTCTCACCAGGGGCAGATGCAATGGTCTTGCAAGGACCCCCAAGTGTCAGTGTGTCATTGTTCTGGACCCCCAGAACAATGACACACTGTAGAGTACCAAGTGACCGGCGGAAGGCTACAGTAGTACCGATATTCAAAAAAAGGGTCAAGATGCCAGCCTGGGAACTACAGACCAGTCAGTCTTACATCAATAGTATGCAAACTGTTAGAGGGAATGATAAAATACTACTTAGTAGTGTTTGTTCATGAAAATGGTATAATAAATGATAACCAGCATGGGTTTAGGAAGGACCGTTCCTGCCAGACCAACCTACTGACATTCTATGAAGAGGTAAGTAGAGATCTGGATGGAGGTAGGTCCGTGGATGTGGTGTATCTGGATTTTTCGAAGGAGTTTGACACAGTGCCACATTTAAACAGCCCCGATGCTGGCGACGTACACTGTACGTCGTCAGTCACGAAGGGGTTAAAGGAGGACCTGGATTAAATAGGGGAGTGGGCAACTATATGGCAGATGAGGTTTAATGTTGATAAATGTAAAGTAATGCACTTTGGGGGTTAAAAATAGGCAAGTGGAATACACATTAATGGGAACTCCACTAGGGAAGTCAGAAATGGAAAAGGATCTGGGGGTCATTGTAGACCACAGATTGAGTAATAGCTTGCAATGCCAGGCTGTGATAAACAAAGCAAGCAGAGTACTGTCTTGTATTAAAAAGGGAATGTACTGTAGGGACAAATCTATAATTTTGCCACTTTATAGATCACTAGTTCAGCCTCATCTGGAGTATGCGGTCCAGTTTTGGTCACCAATACACAGGAAGGATGTCCTGGAGCTGGAGAGAGTCCAGAGAAGGGCAACAAAACTAATTAAGGGGATGGAGGACCAAAGCTAGGAGACAACGTTGCTAAATTTGAACATGTTCACGCTAGAAATTAGGCGATTAAGGGGGGACATGATTTGGATGTACAAGATGTTCAATGGGGATAGCAACATCAGCCATAAACTTTTTACTATAAACTCCATAACAAGAACTAGAAGCCACCACCTAAAGCTGGTGGAGCAAAGATTTAAGCACAAGGGGTGTAGGGGATTCTTCTCAGTTAAAGTGGTTAGAGTCTGGAACTCGCTGCCACAAGCATTAGTATCAGCTGAGAGTGCTGAATCATTCAAAAAGCATTTGGACAACTTCCTCAGAGACCGTAACATAGAGGGGTACAGGTACCCTTAGAAACAAGAACAAACAGGGACTCGTACACACGCAGGCAGTGCAGAATCGCATACATACACGCAATAGGTTGAACTTGATGGACCTGTGTCTTTATTCCACCTCAAATACTATGTAACTATGTAAGTGTCAGTGTGTCATTGTTCTGGACCCCCAAGTGTCAATGTGTTATTGTTTTGGACCCCCAAGTGTCAGTGTGTCATTGTCCAAGTACCCCCAAATTCCAATACCTCTGATAGGGATGTTTGGTAAAACATGTAAAGCACATCCAAATATATAATGCACCTAAAATGCACTGTATCTAAAACAGAGGAGTGAATGTAAAAAAAAGAGTGAATGTGATTTTATGTCAGAGTTCTTTAAAATGACTATAATTAAAGGAGGGCTTTCAATATTAAAGATTTTCAGCCTCGTTCCGCCCTTCCCCCCTTTTCATGTTTTGGGGTTCTTCCCAGTCACAGATCTGACAATCTCTCATTTTCTATTTCCAACACATTATTAGGCTCTATACACAATATAGCGTTTGCGTTTCTGATGCAGAAGAACGCACGAGACGCAAACACTATATGTGAAACAACTGCACGGATTCCACTCATTTGCAACTATTATATAGCTGCGAATGTGCCGGATTATCGTGCTTGCTTTTTTCGTACCACATGGCCCCGCAATAGTCTGAACAATGCACATTAAAGTGCATTGTTTTTTCTGTTTAGAGCGGCTCCGCACGTATTCATACAGCTCAATACACACGGACAGCGGCTCCAGTGTGAATGGAGCTTTACCCCGTACGAACCCCAAAATAGTGCAAGCGCGATACTCCGGCAGATTCCACGCGTACACAGCTATATAATGGCCACAAACAAGCGGAATCTGTGCAGTTGCTTCATATATAGCGTTCCTGTCCTGTGCGGTCTTTTGTACGGAAAACCGCACGAGAAACGCAAACGCTGTATGTGAATGGAGCCTGAAAGGTTAAAATCATCCCATTAAGTTCACATACCAGCATCAGGGCTCCCGATTCCCAGGTAACAGTCGGCGTTTTTGTAAATAGTAGAACTCAACCAGTGGGGGCTCCGGATCGGATCTCAGTAGGGCCCCCCCAGCCTCTATCTAGCATGACACATCCCCTACCTCCGAGCTCTTCTCGGCCACGCCGCTGTCAAACTACGAGATGCAGCTTTGTTAAAGCGGCAATGGCAATGTTTGGTGGGCCCGGAAGGCGGGCAACACTGCGTTGCTGCTTTAACACAGCTGCGTCCCCTTCCATGCGGGCTCGAAAGGACATGTGGGGGGTTGGTGAGAGGCCCCCTCTTGGCCGCTGGCCCTCGGGCAGTGCCCGACTGCCCATATGGTCAGTCCGCCCCTGCATATATACATGTGTTTTCATTATGCTTTGTATTGTGTTTTTTATGCAATAATCCATCTTTTAATGTGTCACATGTTTTGGTTTTGCCAATGAGGATTGATTTCCTGCAGTGATATCATTGTTGTGGACTTCTGCTGACATAATTTACCATATATGACCACATTAGGCAAATGCCATTTACCTAATAAAGCCGTGTAGCCATATAAGGTCAATGACATCCCTGCATCCCGCCCCTTTAGTTCCTGTGCAGAGTGCAGACCTAGGCATTTTGTCACTCAAAGGCAAACACGACATACGCTCAAGACAAGGAATCCCAGTAATTTCTATGGTCCCTGTTCACACCTAATACTTTCTCACAAGCAGAGGAACTCCTGTTGCTGGAAAATGTACATGAACTACTCTTAGGCAGGTTGCAGTGCTTTTTGGTCTCACAGACCTCAATGGGAAACTGTGTGTAACAAAACACATAATAAAACTATCAGGTATGAACTGGGGTCATAGAAATGAATGGGATTCCTTGTCTTGAGTGTTTTGTCATGCTTAGCTTTGAGCAACAAAACGCCCAGGTGTGAACGAAGCCTTACTTACGTGCAGCTGTGAGCGGGAAATTCCCCGGCTGCAGCTGATTAGGCGGAAGCAGGAGGAGTTTCCATCCAGGCACGAAAGAGCATTTTCTGTGTTCGGAGGTGTTAAGGTTCAACTGAGTTCAGTCCGAATCTCAGCTCATGCCTAGTAGTGACAGCGAGAGGCGTCATACAGGAGAGGAAAGCTACTTTCCTCCCTGATGAGTGCTTCTATATCATATAGAAATTCTGCAGCAGTCATCTTGCCTGGTGTGTGAGCACATGGCAGGTATCCAGGGGAGAAGCGTGTTGCCAGGGGCTGCCAACGCATTAAAACACACTATACATGCATTTTCACAGCCTTCTATGGGTCTCGCTGCGCATGAAAATGCACAAAAAGAAGGACATGCCTCATTTTTAAGTGCAAGGCATAGATGTGAACAGGCTCATTGGTTAACATGTTTCCTTATGGCACATACATTGTTTTGCATCCCGATATGTGTGCTAAACGCAGAGGTGTGAACAGAGCCTTAAGGTTTCAATCTTGAGGAACGTAGTTCATGTCAGTGTAAGGATCTATTTTTCCTAGCTGATTAGGAAAAATATCCAATGTTAGCGTTAA